AATAGTAAGATAATTACCAGATGCTAAATCATAAGCAACACTTGAATAAGATACATTAACCGAACTCTATAAATAAAAATAAATTCATTCAAAATATTATTTCACAAAAAAAAGCAATTATTACATTAGTATTTTGAAATTGAAATAAATAAGTTTGTCCAGCTAATAAATTCATCATATGACTATTAGAATGTGTAAGTCGTTTATGACTATTAAGTACAACTGTGTGACGATTTGATGTATCATAAACATTTAAAACTTCACCATTTTGTTTTAAATCAGCTTTATTAAACGCAGATTGAATCCATGTATCCAATGATGATGGGCATGTTACTGCTCCAGGCGACCAAAAGACGGGTAAAAAGACTAGTCTTTTATCTAGTCCAGACGGCACGTCCGGTATAGTCTTTTTCTCAAAACGGACTCCTAGATGACTAGTTCGAAATCGTTTGCAATGTTTAGCACCGGTTCGGACCCGTCCGAAATAGATTGTAAATTAAAAAAGGAAGAGCGTCAATGACACGACATCTATCAGGATCTATTTATATGTAGTAGTCTAGTCCGAACTAGTCTAAATGATAGAAATATGTGCAGAGTTAAATTCGAACATCCATAGCATATGTTACTTACCTATACTTTACCTGATTGAACCATATGATCAAGTGATCAACTTTAACATATCAATAGACATTTTACAATGCTAATTAATATAGTTTGACTTACACTTTCTCAAGTTTGAATATTAGTAAAAAATGCTTAATATACAATAGCAAATCAGCTAAATAAAATTGATTGAGAATTTTTTTAATTTTCCTTCAAAAGAAAATTGTTTTGAACCTCGATATTTGGAAAATATTATTTTCTATTTGAAAAACAATTAAAATTTCAAAATAAAATAAAAATAATGTATATTTTCAAAAAATCTTGCCTTTCATGTCATAGTTTACGTATATTTTCATTTACAATATTTCCGATTTGAATTTGAGAGTATAAGCTATAATTCTGATTAAATCTCTATTTCACTTCAAATCATCAGATTTTATATTAAGATATAATAAGATTCTGATAGAAATTACTAAAATTCATTGTTCAAATAAAACTATTCTTAACTATTATTACAGTCTGAAAATTTAAAGGATGTACAATAGACAACTCTCGCTGGATACATATATCGTTCTAGTCTCCGTATAAATGAGTCTAAATGAGTTGCTCGTATACTTAAGTGTAACCAAAAGAGACTATCAAAGGAGTGTGGGTGTGGGTGTGGATTTATTAATTTTTGTAACACCCACACCCCCAATTGGTCCTTATTATGAATATTTAATGGATGATTGATCTTGAAAATAATACTTTAGATATCTTTTTATTTCTATTCTTGCTGATTGAGGATCATTTTTTTAATTTCATCAATACTTTCTGATGCTTCATCCCATATTAAACCATTGGGATATTCAATAGAACCATTATCTTCATTCATCTTTAAAAAGAAACGAAAAATATCAAAAAAGATTAGAAAAATTGAATTACTTTTAATGTTATTAATGTATTGATTTCATCTAACATTCTAAAACGAGTGATTGAGCTATCTCGTAAATGTTTTATTGAAATTTCTTGACAAATTTCAGGAAAATCAAAATCATCTCCTGTCAAACTTTATTAATTACAACAAAGAAATGTTTTTCTTTTTGAATATATTCTAATAAAACTCTCTCACTATTGGTCATTTAAACAAGGTAATGTAAGAATACATGGTGATACTTCATTAAAATGAATTCTAAAAAAGCCTAAAGTTTTATTCTTTCTCTAAAATATGTGATAACAAACGTCAATGTTGATAATTGCAACGACGACCATAGTGTTAAATTATGAATTCCACGTGAAATAAGAATTGAAGACGAACACATATTAAAGCATTTTTACTATTAGAACTTAAACAAAGTTTAACAATTGGAAATTCAAATAGTTCTGAAAATAAATGAAATTAATTTGAAATATTTTCTAAAATAAATACCATAATCATGATTCAACGAAAGAGATTCAAAACATAATGATCTTCCATCATCTTCTCGTTGATCTGTTGAATGATCAGGACTTTAAATATTTCCTCATCCAAGTAAATTTCCACTTGATAAACTTGTTTCTTGAGGAGAGATTCTATAGATAAACGACCTCAATATACAACGATAACTCGATAGACAAATAAATATTATCTCTTTTAGCGAATAATATTTTCCTTTATTCTTGATCAAAATGATACATTCTGTGGATAGATTCACAATCACATGATTTACTTTTATGGAATTTTGATTTTTTTTTTGAAAAATGTCAAAACTTCAATAAGATCGATTCAAATGTGTCGAAAATAAGAAGTAGGTCAAAGTGAAAAGAGAAATACTCAATGGAAATNATCTAATGAGCTATTCTTTGTATATCACGTATATTTATCCATTTTATCTAACTCGTTTCAGATATTCTTCTCATCACAATTGGTAATTCTACAAATATAGAGATGACAACAGAGAATATCACAATGAAAATACAATTTTGCACCCATTCGACTCTGGAACACGTGAGCTGCATTTTTGGTTTTAGTTGTATTGTTTACACCATAAGCTGTTTCAATACATATCTTCTACGTCTTTTTGGCGAAACCAAAAAATTAGTCCTTGATTCTCGTGGGTTAAATGTGATACACATTTTCGATTGTGTCTATCTTTACTTTCATCGGTATGACAGTTAGTATTTATTGGAATGGTTGTTATCATATTTCTATAACCTGCACTCTGCTACTTACAGAAACCTTGTTGTGGCTTCTTAGTTTTTATAACCTATGCAGTAGTGCTGAACGTATCCCTATTTCTTTTCACGGCAAAAAAATTGTTGTCATTCATACTTCAGAAAAGAATAATAGTCGGAATAGAGCTTGGCAATAGCTACCATAAATAAAGATTGTTTTTTGTATCTGATTATGAATCTGTTCATTTCTTTCTTCTCTATTTTGATTATCTACAATGTGTTCGTTGATGCTTTTTTTTTGTTGTTGTTAATTTGGAATATTTACATTATTTCGTTTTCTCTAGTGTTTTTGTATTAATGAAGGATTTTAATAAAGAAAGACTTTTCTTTCACTAGAGACTTCTCACAGACTCAAAAATCAAACAAAAAACATATATGGAATAATCAATGGATTCTTACAAACTTATACGTGAATTATAAAAACAAGTTAGTGAGACCAGTTTCAATAATAAGCAAAAAACAACTTCACAGATACATTAAGAACTAATGTGTTCATCAAGAACGAAACATTAAAGGGATGAGATAGAAATCATACGTTTACATGTAAAGTTAATGCTTGCTCTTATAAACTCTTCGTCTTCATATCTATAACTTGGAATCGGCATCTGCTTAGCTCTTGCTAATACTTTCCTTTGATTAAACCGATTAAACAAACTAACTAAAAGGGTAAGGGTAAGACAGGATGGGGATATGAGAGGGTGAGGGTAGGAGGTAGGATAAGCGTAGAAAACCGATAATAGAAGCTGGTATGCTTTGTTATTATTTTCTGTTATGTTAAAAGTTTCAATATTTTTTTAAGTCGACATGTTTGTGTGGCGATATTTCAACACCTCGCTCTGTATTTCATATCATCATGTGCAGAAAAGCTATAGTGGACTTTATTTTTAGGAGTAAAAATTTACAATTTCCTCTCTTAAATACAAAAGAAAAATACTAGATGATAAGTTTGATCACTAACGAAGTTATATACAGTTAGAAATCGACCATGATTTTGAAACATCTTGCACAGATGTATGTATACATTGGCATTTAACGCCCTCTTTTTTTATCAGAAAAGCTAAGTACAATTTTAATGCAATAATAAAGAATGTATGTAGCATATGCAATACCTCGCTCTTCATAGAATACATATACACAGACAGAGAGAAACGATCATTAAATATATCATGGTTAGCTATGATATCAACTTGTATTATCAGACGATGGTCTTCGAAATAACACTAATGCGTTTCCTCAAATAGCTTAGTTTGCGAATAAAACATCCAGTCTGAACTTCTAAAACCTACCGTCAAACTTCTCATCAGGAAGAAATTAACAACTCTAACATAAACTATTCCAGCTTTTAACTGCTTTATAGAAGATCACCTACGTCCGTTATTTAAACATCGGTCCGAGTACGTTATAGTTTCCTTCTATATCAAAGGACTTGACTTTAAAAGTCAAATATAATTCAACCTTTGATCAAAGAACAACTACATATTCTCAATTGGTATTTCGTTGCGACAATGTTTTGATTTGATTGCTTGAATTTATTAGATTTTCTTTATTTTTTCTTTGTTAACATTGCTTTTTTTTATCGGTCGATCTTGAATCATCATCATATGAGACATATTCGAACTGAGTAATGTTTATGGACAATTATTTTTGACGAATTGTGTTAAATATTATCATACTCAGTATCTTATTTTTGATTCAGATCATGTTGTACAAACAGACTGGTGTTGTCTCTCTTGTAGAATTTGTCAAACAAATCGAGAACCCGTACATACTACACAGTTGTTTTTTTCTTTAATATATGAACTCAAACATTTAACCTTTCACTTGGCAACATACATACACACACTCAACATGATGTACATAGAAGCCCTACGGCGCCATAGCTTTACCCCTCTCTAACTTTACTCTTATAGCTATAACCCTCTATAGCCTTACTCCCTTATAGGCTTACCCTCTTATTGTCTTGAGGATGTGGGTGTGGGTGTGGTGATAGTAATGCTTTCAATGTTTTCTTCATAAATAGATTTTCCAAAGTTGTAAACTCTTTTCATTGATCGAATTCGGCATGTAAGGAAGTGTTAAAATTAGAATCGTTACTCTAATAAATGTCATCATGCGATAATTTTTATCACTTAAAATATTTTTCGCAATTTTCGTTTTTTATGCTGAGTTTTTTATAATAGCTCTTGACAAAGTGAAAGATGTTATTTGTTTTGTTTTCTTGTATGCTTCATCTATTGTAGTTTACTCAAGATGTAATTATAAGGATGATGTTATATATAATTTAAATTAAAAAATTAGTTCCAAGTTCTTGGAAATGTTAAATTCCAATCATTCTTAAAAACTAATTGGTCCTTATTATGAATATTTAATTGATGATTGATCTTGAAAATAATATTTTAGATATCTTTTTATTTCTATTCTTGCTGGTTGAGAATAATATTTTTTAATTTCATAAATAGTTTCTGATGTTTCATCCTATATTAAACAATCGGGATATTCAATAGAACCATTATCTTCATTGATCTTTAAAAAGAATACAAAAAATCGAATTACTTCTAATGTTATTAATTCATTGATTTCATCTCACATTCTAAAACCAGTCATTGAGCTATCTCGTAAATGTTTTATTGGAATTTCTTGACAAATTTCAGGAAAATCAAAATCATTTCTTGTCAAACTTTATTAATTACAACAAAGAAATGTTCTTTTTTGTATATATTCTAATAAAAGTCTCTTACTATTGGTCATTTAAACAAGGTAATGTAAGAACACAATGATGATACTTCATTAAAATGAATTCTAAAAAAACCTAAATTTTTATTATTTCTCTATAATATATGATAACAAACGTCAATGTTGATAGTTGCTTTTAAAAACACTATTCCAAAGATACAAACTTATAAATTTCATCAACATTTAGTTCTTGAGAATGTTCATATGATGTATAATGTGTTAAATTGAGAATTCCACGTGAAATAAGAATTGAAGACGAACACATATTAAATCATTTTTACTATTAGAACTTAAATGAAGTTTAACAATTGAAAATCTAAATAATTCTGAAAATAAATACCATAATCATGATTTAACGGAAGAGACTGAAGACATAATGATCTTTCATCATCTTTTCGTTGATCTGTTGAATGATCAGGACTGTAAATATTTTTCCCATTCAAGTAAATTTCCACTTGATAAACCTGTTTCTTGAGGAGAGATTCTATACATAAACGATAAATCGATAGAAAAATAAATATTGTCTCTTTTAACAAATAATATTTTCGNAACTTTATTAATTACAACAAAGAAATGTTCTTTTTTGTATATATTCTAATAAAAGTCTCTTACTATTGGTCATTTAAACAAGGTAATGTAAGAACACAATGATGATACTTCATTAAAATGAATTCTAAAAAAACCTAAATTTTTATTATTTCTCTATAATATATGATAACAAACGTCAATGTTGATAGTTGCTTTTAAACACTATTCCAAAGATACAAACTTATAAATTTCATCAACATTTAGTTCTTGAGAATGTTCATGTGATGTATAATGTGTTAAATTGAGAATTTCACGTGAAATAAGAATTGAAGACGAACACATATTAAAGCATTTTTACTATTAGAACTCAAATGAAGTTTAACAATTGAAAATCTAAATAATTCTGAAAATAAATACCATAATCATGATTTAACGAAAGAGACTCAAGACATAATGATCTTTCATCATCTTCTCGTTGATCTGTTGAATGATCAGAACTGTAAATATTTTTCCCATTCAAGTAAATTTCCACTTGATAAACCTGTTTCTTGAGGAGAGATTCTATACATAAACGATAAATCGATAGAAAAATAAATGTTATCTCTTTTAACGAATAATATTTTCGTTTATTCTTGATCAAAACGATAGATTCTATGAATAGATTTACAATCAAATGATTTACTTTTATGAAATTTTGATTGTTTTGAAAAATGTCAAAACTTCAATAAGATCGATTCAAATGTGTCGAAAATAAGAAGTAGGTCAAAGTGAAAAGAGAAATACTCAATGGAAATTTAAATCCAGACATTGAATAATAATGGGCATCAGTATAGTATTTTTGAATCTC